CAAAGCCGGGGCATATTTTCTACAGCTCTACGGTCTTCGACAAGGTTGCTCGGTATACAAAACAACAATTTTTTAAGGTTTCTGTTTAGTTCTTTTTCCCACCGCCTGGAATGCACTCGATTTTATCTTTTAAATATACCGTCCTACAATGAAAATAGTTCCATGGTAACCACTACAAACGATATAGCTTACGTTACCGTGACGGATGACTTTCCCAGGGTAAAATATAGTCGCTACATTTATAGTCTGGCGGATAGAATTTCGATCCATCAAAAAGCGGAACCAATTCAATATATTGTAGAACAACAATTGAAAAGGTATTATCAACTTTTATAAACACAACGTTGGTTATTCTTTCTCCGCTAATCGAACGCAAATTACCAGCATCATCGGATAGGGGAAACTTTCCCCAACCTAAAGATGGTGTTAGTTTGCGTTGGCCACCATAATAAACAAATACCATAAACGTACGATAGCCCCAATATTCGAACTTTTCCACAAGTGGTTTGGATGATACCCTAAACACTGCTTCTGTTTTTCTTTTATTTAACGTCGGTCTCTGTTCCGCAACCTAGTGCCAATCACCGACGGACATCGATTGCCATCCATTGACAGCAATCGAATGTGCAGGAAGGCAGCTTCCACACCTACGTAGGATATCGAACCCATGCAAACACACATGGGCCGCGAAGTTTTTGATTTTCAGAGTTTGTTGGAAATGCTATCTAACATGAAGCTTTATATACCGTTCACATTACAGCGTATATCACGTGATATACGCTGTCTTGCAATGAGCACTCATACATCTAGTTTTTACTGGAAATCCTATGTATGAATGCAAATTGCAAGACAACCTATATAACATGATATTAGCCATAGTCTGTACGGGGTATAAGACAAACTTCAAATCTCCGCGTCATCGTACGGGTTAGGTAAAGAAGTGTGCGTTTGACTTTGTAACGTCGCATTAATGACCCTTCGCTCATTTTCAACTTCTATTCAATTTGCATACTGCCGTACTCCAACGGAACTATCTACCTACACTCTTCTAAGACCATTATCTAGCTAATGAATTATCACACTAAAGCTTCATGTTAGATAGCATTTCCAAACAACTCTGAAAATTGCATACCTTCCGTATGAAGTAACATAAAAACATTTTGAATGTAACAACTCAAGGCGGGAGTAGCCGTCAACCAGGGATAGAAATTCTCACTCAGCTGCACGATAAGCATTTCCTCCCTCAAGCTACTTTTCGCTGAGTTGTGAACCGTTCACATTTTCATCTCTCCTTTTTCACCGATAATTCATTATCCTCTCTCATACATAAACCGAAAATATCTCTCTTCAAAAACGAACGAAAATACTTTTTCATCACACATTTGGCTCTGAAAACTACCAAGAGCGAAAAAAAATACCACCCCAAATTGTTCGGTTCCAACCCAATGTGATGTAAACATTTTTTTTTTTTTTTAATTCTTTATTTAAGAGATTTTTAGCCTTAGGCTAGTTCATCTCTAATAAGTGATGTAAACAGTTGAGGCTTGGGAATTCGCCGTTTCTTTTGTTCTTCCGTTGATTAAATGGTTGACGGAGTGTGGCGTCATACCAACAATCAATACGAAACTAACGATTTTAAATTGGCTCACCACTTTAGTAGCCTATTGGTCCCAAGCAAACGATTAACGTACCCTATTCTAGTTGAAATTCTATTACTACACTATGTTTGTTTTGATTCGCTATGAAAGTTTGACAGATAACATCAGGGGTGTGTGGATTTATGCAGAACATGCAGGGGTGAGTGAAATAGCTTGGGACTGCTTGGGACCGTTGTTCTGGTACTGAGTGAGCCAAAAATAACAATGATTTTCTTCGGGACCCAGTGGTCTTAGAGTTACCTCTATGGTCATACTGTGTTATCCATTTAAACAGCGGCAGAACGAAAGGGACAACGATTTCACATAGCCTCACCTGTTTGCATTTCATTGGTTTTAACCAGTCCGGCAGATTTTTTATTTCCTTTTTATACCTTCTGTCAAATCATAAGGATCATCCATAAATGACGATGCAATTTTCTTACCAATTTTAGACCCTCCCCTTCGTAGCGTTTTTTCTATACCTTATGCATGGTCCGTTACAAATGTTGAAACCCCCTCTCCATTACTCCTCAGATTCTACGTAACTTATGGATGAGCCCTAACTGTTGTTTTGGTTCTTAATTTCGGATCATCGTTTGCGTGCGGAAAGTGAATTTTCAGGTGTATGAAAGAAGTGAAAAATCATTATCGGCATCAAGAATTCACTGGAAAAGAAACGATTTATCTGCCGCTCATGCTCTCCGAAAAAAATAAATGGTTGTTGCTTTTCTCGCGAAAACTGCTGTGAGCGTATAATATTCTCTCGCTTCTCACATTCTCTTCTATTTCTCCTAGCAGGTGAAAAATGACGTTTCTCTTCTCAAGTAGGCGAAAATTTCGATCTCTGCCGTCAACAATGCTGATGATGGTACAGCACGCAACAACCACCCTACTGCTTTCTCTCTGAGATGACTACGCATTAAAACACACCATCGACTGGAAATGCTTTCGGCAACGTGGTGCTTTAGGTAGTGATGAAACGTCGTAGTACCACAGACAAACAGACGTAGCACTTCATTGTGTATCTTCGTTCACGCATTTAACGGTTGATTTGAATATTATCAGTTCCGCGAACCAGTGATGGAAAAGTTCGCGAAAACTCACTATGACTCGCGAACTTTTCCCTTGGTGAACTTCGTGAAATATCGCGAACTTTTCCAACACTGCCGCGAACTACTCGCCACAGCGCTGGCATCGGATCACTTTGACGTAATAGAAGGCATAGAAATTGTATAGAACTTTTATGCAATATTGTTTGCGAGTTAGCAAGCAAGCTAAGAGATGTTGTTACTGAGGTCCTACACACAAAAAATTATCGTTACTAAAATTAAAAATACCATGGGTAGAATTAAAAGTTTTCGTTGGTTCTTTTTGGTAGAAAGTCCAAAGCATTCATCATAAAAATGTGTAACCTGTCAAATCAAAAGTTTACGTCCTCGATAAATTTAAAAGTTGAAGCTTTTGAATCAAATTGTAGAACTGTCAAAAGGAAAATCAATGTTTTTAAAATAAAGTAGAAATTGTTTCAGTTCAAAAGGAGTCGTTACAATATATGTTTTTATCTCAAATTTGAAATATTTTCAGATTAATAGTTTTCCAAATTTAAATAAAATTGGGTACTCATATTTACATGATTTATAAAAATAAAAATAATGTTTATTCATATATTTTATAAACAAAAAACAAAATCATACATTGTTAAAATTACCAGAGCAAATTTGGTCCGAACCAGAGCAAATTTTGGTCCGAAACAAAAGAAGGTATTCGGTCCAACCTCAGGTCCACGGCATTTTCGGAATTTTCCTCGTTCAAAATGACGATAAACAAAAGGAAGGCGATGATTACGAAGAGTGCTTATCCCAAAATCACTCCATGGAAATGGCATTCTTGACGACGTCTTCCTGCTGGAGCAACATTGTTCTCCATGAACTGACGATAAGGAATCTACAAAAACAAAAATACAACCTTTGAAATACAAGCCACAACCATTGCATACCACAAAAGTGGAACACTCACCGTAGCAATATCCAGCAGAATGGTGAAGACATTCATAAATGTCATCAGCATCGATTGGAGGTAGTTTTCGTACACTGATTCCACCGTAAAATGCTTTTTTTGCTTTTTACTTCGTCTGGTCCACTCAAATTCAATTTTGGCGGCAAATAAAGTTGGGTTCAGAGCTTCAGTGCTGCCAAAAACTTTGCTATGAACAGGTATTTTTGACAGTTGAACAACTTTTATAAAAACATAATGCACTTTTAAAATCACAAGTCCAAAGTGAAAGAAAAACTTTCAAACCAAAGGTATAACTTTCATTTTGAAAATTTTCACAGTTAAAACAACGAAATTTGGGAAACTTTCATTTTGGAATTGCATTATTTTTATAGCAACAATTTTTGTTTTTTGTGTGTATGTTTTGAGATACTATGTTTTCAAGAAAAACTTTTTCAGAGTTAGGTCTGTTTGTCTGTGCTAGAACAGCCGCAGACAGTATATGAGCAAAGTCAGGCGCACATTTTTTGCCTGTAAAGTTGAAGATATACTTCAAATCTCCGCGTACATCGTACAGTGTGCGTTTGACATGTACCGTCGCGTTAATGGCCCTCCGCTCATTTTCAATTTCTATTCGATTTTCAAACTGCCGCACTCTAACTACTATCTACCTACCCTCTTCTAAGACCATTCTCTAGCTTATAAATTATCACACTAAAGCTTCATGTTAGATAGCATTTAAAACCAACTCTGATCATCATTATCATCATCAGCATTAGTGTTCTGCTCTTCAACATTGCGAAGAATAATTGTTCTTTTCACATGGCATGTCAAACAAATATCAATACTACATATTAAAAACAATCCCGGAATTATCCTCACACTCCACAGAAATTCCGTGGAATTAATGTCAGAATTTCTTAGGACTTTATCTCAAACTTATCTTTGAATGTTGGCCAGATGTCCCTTTGAATGTTCCCTATATATTTTTTAGAAATCCTTCACTGCATTTCTTTAATTGAGGAAAAGTTATCGTTGTTCTTCTACAAATGGACATTTTGCCCCAGGGGTGCATTATGGGCCCCTAGAGTTGTAGCAGTGATGATCCTTCTGTTCGTTGGCTTAGAATGTCCTTGAGTATAGCGGTTGTATTCAGATATCGCAGTAAAGTTCAGCGTCCTTAATGAAGCAGATGAATGCCGCTTCGATTTTTGCTAACCTTTGACCTCTAGAAAAGTGGCAACATCACAACTAAAGATAGCGTATGATCAAAACTGACAGCGCACTGTAATCTATTAAACTTTTATTTCATGTTGTAATTTTTCCTTGGGTTGGAGAGATTTTAGCAAGGTATAGGTATGCAATAAAAATGCAAGCCACGTGTTGCGAATATAGTAAGGTGCCTTTGTTGGAGATAACCTAATTAAAATGATTAATGTCTTCATAGGATAAGACAGTCAAATCATACTCGCCAAATCGCGAAGTATATTTAAGTGGAATGTACATTCCAAATGATACTACATATGCTGCGAAGAAGACTAGAAACAGAACTCGATCCAAAATTCGGCTGAATGAAGTCCACGTCTCATTGTTATCGGTAAGCTCAGATGATTTGGTTTGTGAAGTTTCAGATTTCTGAAATTTTTGGAAGCAATTGAATAACCATACCAGTTATAATTGATATATAAATACCTTATATTCAACAGTCATATAGTCTCCTGCCAAAATCAATTCCCCAATCTTATGTTTGATGACCGTTCCTGCTGCCAGCGTAACCATATTCGGAGGAGTTCTTTCCAGCCGCTTCAATGCTGAGCCTATCAAGGTGTGTATGATGAGGATACCCGTTACCACCACGGAATTACGGTAGAAAAGCACTGAAAACAATACTGTATGAATAAGGTGAGCTCTTCAATCTTGATCTTATGCATACATATTCCAGGAACAGTATCTCCGTTTTTGGGGACCACCCATTGAAGGAATACCAAGAAATAGAAATGACAGATAATGGAAATAGCTAGAAGTAGCTTTCTTTCAAGACAATCCGTGTCCAGCCACGTAAGGAAGAGATTCAAAATTATCAATACTGAAAAACGTAGTAAATAGCTATGAGTAATGTAGGTATTTGGAGGACAAGCTGCTTGATAATCTTACGAAAAATGGGCGTCAACATTCCCACCACATGGAAGCTAGAATGTCGCTCGAGAATATAATCGTATACCAGCGTAGGATACGTCACATTGTTGTGTATTGTCGCATTTCTCGAATGTTTTGAAGATACCACTTGCCACTGAGTGTTTTGATTTGATTGTACGGATCCAACGCTAGCAAAGCGCGTATGGTAATCGACCTCACCGGCATGTTCCATCCAGGCGCCATACAGTAGCTGGCACTTTTGCGAATCCAATGGCCAGTTGGAATAATCTGCTTCGCATCGGGCACTAAAGTCACACGATGGAATTGCAACGATACTACCATCAGACTTCACATAGCAGCTAGGATTGGTACAGCTTATTTTGATATCGAATTTGGTGACCCTGTAATTACAAGGATAACATTGATGGATGTTCATAGAAATGCAATCTTGAATGTATTACGAGGAATATAGCTGAACATCCGGTACCCATAGCTGATCCGATTTAATCGGTATGGCGGTAATGTTACTGAAGTCCTTTGGGTCCCAAGACAAATATTCATCGACCCATTCCTATCGATTAGAATAAACAAATCTTGATTTGTGATTTACTTCAGCATATTTTAACTGGTTGCACTTACCATAGCAAGTAACATATTTGCATCAAGAGAATTAGTGTTTTCATTCTAAATAAAAAAAACAAGTAGACAGTTTTATAGTTGGAATTTGCATACAGAAAACAACAGTGCATCTTCATATTACAGAAAAAAAAAACCACAAGGTCTATCATACTCACAAATTCAAAGTTCATCAAAATCGGCATGACAGTAACATTCACTGCAAATTTGCTATCCTTTACCGGACGTTGCTTCACGTCATATGAGCCACAAACTAACTGCTTTTTCAGGCGACCTTCATCATGTCTCGGCTCCTGATTGCAATCGATGCATTCTAGGAATAATTTTAAAATAGATCTACGGATTTTTTTTTAATATACGATACCACTTTATACCTGCACATGGAAAGTGATGGAATAAAACAAGCAACACAGTCCAGGTTAGTAATTTCTCCCAAAATCTCATTGCTAGTTCAAAGTGGGTAGCTCGTCGGAAACTCAAATCAATACTGAGTATCATTCAAATACGAGTTTTCAAAAGAGCTGTCAAATCGCCAATGGCTTTTGTGGATATTTGGTGATAATTGAAATACGATCCTGTTGAACAAAACAGATAACGAAGATGCTTCGCGCATTGCATCCCACCAATCTAATATGGTACTATGTTACACCCGTTGAAAAAATAAAACTCTGTGCAGTTGCCTGACTGTTTTGGGCCCATTATGCTTCAAATGGTAATAACTTTTGTTTCTAGTGTGCAGAATATGCCTTGTTCAGACTACAGAGTTGTAACATGTTACAGCGCTATCTTGATGGTGGTTTCTGTGTTGCAATCATTTGACAACTGTTATAACATGTTATAACTCTGTAGTGTGAATGTACTATAAAACGCTGTCCAGACTGGAGAGTTATAACATGTTATAACGGTTGTCAAATAATTGCAACACAGAAACCACCATCAAGATAGCGCTATAACATGTTATAACTCTGTAGTCTGAACGTACTATAAAGCGCTGTACAGACTGAAGAGTTATAACATGTTATAACGGTTGTCAAATAATTGCAATACAGAAACCACCATCAAGATAGCGCTATAACATGTTATAACTCTGTAGTCTGAACGTACTATAATGCTTTGTTCGGACTGGAGAGTTATAACATGTCATAACGGTTTTCAAATATTTGCAACAAAGAATTAATTAATTAATTTATCTTTATTAGGGAGGCTTTCAGCCTTGGGCTGGTTCGCCTCCATTGCAACAAAGAAACCACCATCAAGATAGCGCTATAACATGTTATAACTCTGTAGTCTGAACGTACTATAAGGCGAGCCTATAATTTTTCTCATTTCTGTATTGAGATTTTCACGTCCGGTTGGATTCGTTGCGATATGTGAGAGCGTGTTAGTGGAAATCCGAGGAAAATACATAACAAATCGCAGTCAAACTCATTTTGACAGATCTAATTTCGTACATTTTTAGGTTAGCCAGAGGAAAATAATAAACAACTTTACACGGTGTATAGACTCCCGTTAGTGTGTGTGCGTTAAACGTCACTAATCTCTATAGGTATCAGGACCAATCTCTACAGGAACATTGCTTACATCACCTTGATTCATAACTAACCCACCGCACCGAAACAGGACAGTTACATTGATACTATACACGGAGAAAAAATACCCAAAATTTGAGTTTTTTTTACTTCATTTTGAGTTGAGCCTCTCACTTGCACTCATTACCGTTGTTATAAAAGGTTTGAGAGATTCGAACCAACGATATTGTTCAGCCCAATAAGTTACTTCTGAGTAAATTGCATGTTCTTAAATTTACGTGAATTAAAATTAATTTTGGGTAGAACATACTTAAGAGTTAGTATTTTTTGCTGGTGTTTAATGGAAACTACTATATCCGATTTACTCAAATTTGGGCTATTGGGCTGAACCCAGGAATCAGCGTTGCCAGATATACCGATTTATCGGCATTTATACCGATTTTCGAACTTGATACCGATAAACAGATAAGGTTCCTCAGAATAACGATTTTTGAGATTATATACCGATTTATACCGATTTTTTAAATAATCGAAATGATGTTTGCCTACCCACGTTCAAATATCAGAGGAAAATATTGTGTGAAGCTTTTATCTTTTTGAATACGTACATTTTTTTTTTAGATGCTCAAAAATTATTCATCTTTAAGTATTTCTTATGCTTGATACTCTTTTGACTAGTGTTTCCATTTCCAGGACGTTTTCGGCTACCCAGGAATTGGGATACAGTTGATGGCTCATCCTGGTAATTCCTGGGAATCGGGAAATAGGATAGAGAACTACTTTGTCCTAATCACCCATGTTGGGCCTATCGAACAGAAAACATCAAATAAATCCTTATGCGTTTGGTGCGAAACTTTAATTTAAAAATTACCGAACGAAGTCAATAAGAACGCGTGATATGAATGTTTGCACCGAAGTTTTCACCAATTATTCTCAAAAACAAAAGAAGCACTCCGACCGAAACAATTTTTATCTTCATCCGATAGGTCGAAGTGAATCCAATGGCGTTTGAATGGTGTTTCAATGCGTTAGGCCGAATTTAGAATCTATAGGTCGAGTTTGGGGTCAAGAAGCAGCCCAACAAACAATCGTCTATTGAAGAAACGACTTCTTGGCCATTTTATTCAACTACATGCTTTAATAGTACTTGTACTATTTTTAATAATAACTTCTGTTCAGGCTTTGTTCACACAAATCTGGAGAATTTATTCAACCACAACATTGAACTACTTGGTGTTGTATAAGGTATGTCGATAAGCTTTTATTCGACTCATATGAGTTGTAACAGAGTTTATACGATAATTTTTTTGATTATTCAGCGTTTATTAGACATCACTGCTTCCTTAAAACAGTGATGCTCTGTATACGCTTGATTCTCATGTGAAGTAACGTTAGACATTATTATACATTTATTAAATGATTATTCAACTGTGGGAAAATTAACCCGAAAATAAGAAAGACATAATCAACAAAAGCTCGCTTGAAAGTAAATACCTATCAGCACTCCCGATCGCAACTCTAGCTCCTTCAAGGCCCTGTGGGAATGATTAATTCATTCATCGTTCTTTTAAATGAGACCAATGTTGCCTCTTCACCTCTCCAAGTCGAAAGAAAGGATGCTCGGTTATATTTTAAACTAGATCAATGCATTCATTGTCGTGAGTCATGTGATCGATGATTACAATTTAAATTAATTAGACGTAGAACACAAATAAAAAACGGTTGAGCTTGGGATTGAACTCACGACCTTCTAATTGGAAAGCGGAAACGGTAACCACTCACTATACTCTACTGATTCCACCGTGTTGTTAGACTGAATCAGTGTTGTCGAATAATGAATCTAATACATCGTTTATAAAGCATTTACAAATCATGTGATTACAACATGGACGCATAGTGGTATAAGAGCTATTATGCTGACTGTATTCACCTTTATTCAGCAATATTGTAAAGCAATGCAATGAAATCTAATAATGAAGCTAGAAAACATTTATAAGACGTTTAATAAAGCATTTTATTAAATCAATTGAAAACAGTCGAATTAAAGCGACAATGTCTGTGCAAATTACACTTATTCAGTTTACTATTAGATCAAACTTCTGGTTCTGAATCAGGAAGACAGTCAACGTTTATAAAGCTTTTAATAAGTAAATTAATCATATCAGAGCAAACGGCGGAATAAAGGCGCATCTATCGATCTCAATGAGCTTTATTCAGCACATAATTTGACATCCTGTTTTATTCAGCATTGTACACTGTTATACAGCATTTATTCATTGTATATGCTTATTTGTGACTTTGAATTGTTTGTTGGGAGTGTTAAATAGATGTTTAACGATATTTCAACAATTTGTTACTTTCTATCACGGAAAGGTAAGTACATTCAGAAGACGTTTGCAGTGAAAAAATTGATTTTGTAAAAAAAAATCCGCTCGAAAAATAGAGACAAAGGGCAGGTTGTACTTAGTAAGCCCAAAATTAGATCTAAGCCCTACGTTTATCATTTTTGTTACCAAAACGGTCCATCAGAATGTTAATTTTAAACTTTCTGAAGTTTATTTAATCTTTATTTGGAAGTTTCTTCTAACTTTCCCTTGGAATGTTCTTCCGCCTTATCCCGTATGTTACTTTCCCACTCCACCCAGAAAGTTATATTGGCCCTTATTACCGATGTTACTTCACGGTGAAGTGACAACTTATCACTCACGGTGAAGTGATTCCCATTTGATTTACACGGCAATCACTTCACCGTGAGTGACAAGCGATCACTTCACACTAAGATTATTTTACAGATTTCTGTAAAATTTTACCGAAATCTCAACAGCTGAACGTTCGGTAAACAATTTTACAGTTTTCCTGTAATTATTTGCAGATATCTGTGAAAAATTCACAGATATTTGTGAAAAAATACAGAAAATCTGCGAAACTGTTTACCGAACGTTCAGCTGTTGAGATTTCGGTAAAATTTTACAGATTTCTGTAAAAAATTCTAAGTGTGTTCACTTCGTTTTAACCTTGAAGTGATACTCGTAATAAGGGCCATTTACATCTCTCACTTCTTCTGGCTTCGCTAGAAAAGTTCTTCCGTTTTTTCGCGCCAGTTTTTCCAAACTCCCCCTGAATATTGTACTTTCCCTAGATTCCGATTTTCACCGGAAATGTTTTTGGACATCCCCCAGAAATATTATTCTTACGGAATTTTCCAAAAATTTTTTTTCGATTTTACCGAAAACCCTCTGGCTACCGGATGAAGCTTCTGACTTTCTCCAGACTACCTCCGGAGGATTCTTTCAGCTTCTCGAGGAAGTTTCATCCGTCTTCGCCAAGAAGTTCCTTTAAACTTCTACCGGAAATTTCTATCGAATTCTTCCTTTAGAAGTTTCTCCATGAGCTTCTTCCGGAGGTTTTTTTGTAGCTTTTATTGGAACGTTTTTCCAAGCTTCTTCTGGCTAACCCTGGAAATAGCTTTGCCTGAATTTTCTTCCAATTTCCGAAACCTTTCTGGCCTCCTCTGGATGTGTCATCCAATTTTTCCCGAAAGAAAATGTTAACTGAGTCGAACTCAAAAGGTTTATAACAACCGGTGGAAACTAGTAATTTTAAATTGGCTCACTACTTGACTCGCCTATTGGTCCCGATTAACGTACCCCATTCTAGTCGAAATTCTAGCACTACACTATGTTTGTTTTCATTCGCTATGACAGTTTGACAGATGAAATGAGGGATTCGTTAAATTATCGCCGACTTCAGCTACTTTGATACTAAATCTCCACTAAAATGACAC